CTTCAGTTCTAACTCGTGAATCTTTCACTGTGAATGAATCACTCTCTTTGAACTAATCGTTCACTGTGAACGAATCACTCTCTGTGAACTAATGTTTCGCTTCGCTTTCGCAGATTCGTTTCATTTGTCACGTAAAAGAGAGCTCGGGTCTCTTGCTCTCATTCATCTTCACATTGTGGTGTGTTTTTATTTCTTAGCTTTTCACATGGTTTTAATTGCTTATGGCATTTTGTGTACTTTGTAGACTTTGTCAGCGGAAGCAAACCATGTTGCCTTACTTAGTGTTGGAGAACCGCAGCCTTCTTTACAACACCGACAATAGGGCTAAAGCGCCACCTGCTGTAAAACTAATGAAATGATTAGTTCAAGATTCGTTCACGACTCGTTCATTTCACTGTTCGAGAGTCAAAATTCGAATCAATAAAAAGAGTCGGTCTTCCCATCACTAGTCTGCTCGTATTTAGAGGGTAGTGTAAAGTCTGCACTTCTTGGGTCCTTGCAAGAGTTGGGAACATCCGTCCAGTTCCATTGTGTGCAGAGAGTCCTCTTGGTTCCGAAAGTCCGCTTCGGGAGGAAAAGTCTCTGATTGTCGATGTTCACACGATTACTGTTAGAAGGAATCCTGTCGTTTCTAAACTTTTCAATAACTGCTTTGGTCGCAGGGCTACGTTACTTGTGTAACTTAATTACCGGTTAACTCAGTTAAGAAATAGACGCTACTAGTGCATTTATCACTGTGGGCAATGGTGTCTACAAAAGCGCGTTGGTTCTTATTCTTCTGAGAGGAGCAGGTTTATCTTTTCATCAGGGATCCTACCGAGCGAAAGTCCTGAACAGAGAGAATGAACTTGCGACTGATCCCCCAATTTAAAGGTTGCAGAGGTCACTGATCATATGTGGATTTACCGGAAGTAGTGGAATTATGGGAGTCCTTAAAAGGATTGTGGTAGTACCTACACTTCTCAATGTAGACAGTGTAGACAGATACCAAGCTCGGAGAAGAACATTATTTTTCCTCCAGTTGTTCTCCATCATGGTAGCTCTAACATCCTTTGTCTGATATGTTTACTCTCATACCATCTCCAAACCATCTCAACCTCACCTCTAACTGTATCTCCACTGTCTCTGAACCATACAACATAGCAGATCTCACTACTGTCTTATGAACCTGTCCTTTCAACTTTGCCAAAATCCTTTTGTCAAACAGTAACAACAGGGTGTGTTCTGGAAAACACCACACAGTGTTTTAATGTGATAAGTTACATGATACCTGTGGATTTATTGTGATTGATCACGATAAATCGTGATTAAAGCCACCTTTTGGTTATATGTTGATGACCCCCTAAATATCCGTGGACTGAATGAATCACTCAATCCACACAAGGGAATGTATTCATTTTAGGTCAGGGGACTAAGCAGGGTGACTTAGACTTGTGTTGTTGCGTAAGAGTTCATTTGGTTTATATCAGTTTACCTTCAGTTCCAAAAGGTTAAACATTAATTTGTCTACAACTCCCTTTGGGAAATTAATCATATGATGCACAAAAGCTTGGTTTGAGTCCTAAAATGAATTTATTTTTGACTTGTAAGCTTTGAAAATGCCGTGTTCACATACAATTCTCAATAAAGCCTTCAAATTAACTTTTCATTTTCACTTGTACTTTTTTTTTTAAGCAGAGCAGAGAATGAAGGTGCTTCCATCATTCTGATGAGAAAAACCACCCAGGTACAGTCACCTCCTGCACCTGTGGTTATAAATCAAACATGACACTCCTTAAATAGGGAACTGAATCATTTACACTTCATGCCAAAATAACTAGAATAGAAAGAAGAAAAAAAGCATAATCAAAAAAGTCATTTTCAGGCCCCAGATGCCGGCCACTCCATTACTATAGTCTAGATTTATAATGCTCTCATAACAGGCCACCAATGGAGATACTATGGTCCAGGTTTTCTCTGCTCCAAGTTCTAGTGCCTCATCTGTCAAATTGAAAAAAATGTTTGTAAAATTTAGTATGTTGGATTATTTGATTTTTTTTTTTTTTTTTTTTTTTGTGGCGCTGATATCATGTTGATGTACCTGCTCTAATGAACAATGTATTGCATGTATGTAACAGCCCCTCCCCTCTGCTGGCCCCCCTTCCTTTTCCTAACACTGATGCATAACAATTGGCAAAGAAAAAGACTAAATGAGAATTATACAATGATTTCAGTGCTGTATTTTAACACTGTGAAACCTGGTGAATGAAGATGAATGCTGACATATGAGGCTTTGGAGGTCCAGGTGTTCGACACAAGGTCAGTACACACAGTTCCTCCTGCAGCCCTGTCAGCCACATAGATGTTAGTAGGTGCGTGTTAATTGGTATGAAAGGCTGAAATTAATTTGTGCATATGCATTGAGTTGTCATCAAGAGAGATGCATAAAGTTATCTAATTTGCTTTTAGTTTACCATCACAATGCAACAATAATTTGTTTTTTTTTTTTGTTTTTTTTGAGGAAATGTATACACTTTAAACTAAAGTGTAATATACAAATGACATTAAACCTGGAATTAGTTGAGCTAACCATTTCCCTGGAATTCAATGATACCCCAAATGACGATCCTACAGAAGACCTGCAGAACGAATCTGCAAAATCAGAAAGCCACTATTATACAGTTATTTTCTTTATTTTTTTAATAGCAGAGCTATGAGAAGCTGTAGGCTCTGTAGGTTCTTTGTTCACAGGGAGTTTAAGAAATTTCGGGACTATATTGTACTAACGGCTAATTTGTCCATCCATCCATCCATTTTCATCCGCTTATCAGTTACGGGTCGCGGGGGCAGCAGTCGCCACCCAATTCACACTGCACCGTACCAACTTCCTGAACCTTCCTGCGGGTCGTGAGTCCACTGGAAGGTACCAACTGCCCTAACTGGGATTCGCTCTTGCCCAGGAGGTGTACCCTTGTGTTCCACACCAATGACAGAGACATTGCCTCTGGGCCAAAGTGCCACCGGCTAATTTGTTTGTGTGTATACAAGAACAACTAGTTGGGTGAGGTTTTTTTTATTATTATTATTCTAGTTTAGAATAGACCATAAATGTGTCTCAAATACAAAAAAAAGTTTGTGGTGACAACAGAAGAAAATCACGTAAGGAGGATTATTCTCCATTTTAAAATAACACCTTGACGGATTGAAACACAGCTTCAAAATATTCCATGTAACTTCATGCTTTAAGGGGAGTTAAGACTATAAATGAAACACCTTCACTTAATTTAATAGCCTCGTTAGCCCAGTGTAGTGCACCACACCAATACATCATCCCAGAAAGTAGCTGCAAAGTGAACAACAATTGTACCCTGTCATGCTATAAGCGTACATTAAAGTTTTTAGGCTGAGATTCTGATTCTCTGGTGGGAGTGTTGTATTATTTAAATTTCCACGTTAAAGAGAGACTTATTCAAAGAGTTAATAAATGTACTGTAGCAGACCTAACCTTTATACGTAACTAAGGGGACTGTCAAATCAATTTGACAGTTATAAAAACCAGGGGTCTTGTCTGCATGGAGGGGCAACGACCTCAAAGCTCCAGCCCATGGCCCACTTTTGGCCCACAAATCACATGCGGCCCGCAAACTACATTTTAGTATGATGAAATGTGCATGAATAATGTAATCCCTCAATTAGATGGCAGGGGCAACAGGGGCCCCCAGATAATTTGAATTTGATACACCTGAATTAAGAGGTACATTTATAATATATGTTGTTAAATAACCTGCAATAAATTTGACAGCATAACTGTCGTCCTTGGTGAAGATTATTTATGTGTTATTCAACTCCCCTGAAATCCTGAGAACACAAATTAACAGATTGATTTATGCTAAAAAAGGGTCTTATCAATGAAGAAAACAAACAAAAAAGAAGATAATTTGGTTTCTCAGCCAGTAATTATTCAGATATAGAAGGAAAACTAAATGTCATAATTTAGTACAATATTTGTGAAGAACTCTATTTGTTTGTGTTGTAAATGAAAGGACAGTCTGTTATACTT